ATACACTTTCCAATTGGCAACCTATTTGCAATGGTGTACCACAGGGATCCATCCTCGGCCCTTTACTATTTAACATCTTCATGAACGATCTTTCATATGTCATCGAGAAGTGCACTCTGTCCACTTACGCTGATGACACTCAAATCTTTTACGCCGACAATCAACTCTCCAAAATTGAAGAAACAATCAACAACGATCTTATTAGTGCTGATATATGGTTCGCGCGTAATGGTATGAAGAGGAACAGTTCAAAATACCAGGCAATGGTGTTGGGAAAACACAAAGGAACTGATGAACCAGTGTTTAAGTGTGAGGAGTCACCACTTCCCATATCCAACACAATGGAACTTCTTGGCGTGACAATCGATGATAAATTGAATTTTGAAAAGCACATTGCTAAAATATGTAGAAAAGTCAGTCAACAGGTGGCTGTGTTAAAAAGGATGCAGAAAATGTTGTCTTTCGAGACTAGAAGGGATCTTTACAAAGCCTTCATTTTACCACACTTTAATTACTGCTCCGAAACGTGGCACTTCTGTAATAAGAAATCAGCTGACAAGTTAGAGTTGGTGAACAAACGTGCGCTCCGTTTTGTTTTTAGAGATAAGTCCTCCCCTTATGAGGAACTTTGTAAGCGTATCGGTCTCTCAAGTCTTCGTGAACAGCGATTAGCGAAAATTTTGTCCACTGTCTTTAAGATATTAACTAGTGATGCAGGACCAAAAAGCTTACGTGATCTTATAACAGTTAGGTGCTCCACTTATAATCTTAGGGGCACCACAATACTGGACCTCCCAAAAGTAAAATCAACAACCTTCGGGTTAAGATCATGGAGATATGCTGCATCGAAACTATGGAACGCTTTACCGGACGAGTCTCGAAAGATACAGACATTTACTAGTTTTAAAAATTACTTAAAAACATTAGATCTCACGGGACTCTAGCGCGGTGAGGATCTATTTTTAATTATATTTCAACTCGTTGACTACATTATTAAATTCTTATATTTTAATATTAGCCTGTTTTTAATGATTACATTTTACATTTTATATATTCTAGTTCTTAATTCTTAATTTATTTAAATTTATATACCTTCACAAGGCTTTATAATTTCCTTTTTTCTTTTTATTTCGTGGCGTACCTGTAAACTAGCTTTTAGCTAAGCGTTCTGACCACGTTAAATAAATTGATTGATTGATTGATTGATTGAACAGCGGCGGTAATGAATATTTTTCAGTGAGAAGATATAACAATTATAATTGACATTAATTTTCATAGTATTCTCATCAATGGGACCAGTAATAGCGAATCCATGGTTCGTAAATTAAAAAAAAAAAGAAAACAAAGTTTAATTAAAACTATGGAAATAAATTGAAGGAATATCGGTTAAAAACAAATTTAAAACACAGTTGACTTACCGGAACATTCAGAGGAAATAGGAATAATGATACCGCTTTGAAAGAAGAAGCTTAAGATTAAAACGGAAGCTTCGAGTTTCCTTCTGCACGTTTCCGCCATTTGTTTGTTTTCTAGGAGAAAAAGTTACTAGCTACGGGTTGAAACAGCAGTTTACATAATTTTAACAACAGTTATCTCTGTCCAGGTGAAGGTGAAAAATTACTGTGGATTTCAATGCGTTTACGTAAATTTTTGCAGAACTTGAACTGACTCCGGTTGGCTTGTTCAACAGAATTTTTCAAGGAGGTATTCTTGCTGTCGTTCGTGGCTAAGACAGGTGCTGCTTTAATGATTATGGATTATGTACGCTACTGGACACAAAGACGCCAGCGTGGAATCGGCCATTAGCTATTCCGCCAATCAGACGAAAGCAATGGGTAAAACAATTTTATTGCCCTCAAAATGGCTCTATTTGAGGAATCCGTTATCCAAAGTCTTTAGAATCCGTGAACATCATTTTCTGTTATTTTATCGCATGAGAGGAAGGATGTCAAGCTCATCCGCGGTTGTTTCTCTAAATACGGTATCATTTCACAGAAGCTATAGTCTTATCGAACTTCTCTAATATACTGAGGTGTTTAATTAATGACGCACCATTAAGTTAATATGATGATAAAAGGCTAATAGTTTCGAAAGAAACTGTTTGGGGCTGCGTCGGTGGGAGTAACGAAATAATTTGGATATATCAAAAATGTTGAAATGGTAAATTGGCCACCGTAACGATTACAAAAGCTGACGTTTCGAGCGTTAGCCCTTCGTCGGAGCGAATAGAGGAATTGTGGGTTGTGTGTGCTTTTAAAAGCAGAGAATGGAGCTACGTTATTGGTAGGAACATGGCAACGAGAAAAACGAGAATAAATTAGTGGAATGAAAAGCGTTCGTTGATGATATATCATTGACAGCTAAGTTTTTCATGATCACGAACTTTTCGAGTCGATAAAATAAAAATTAGCGAGGGGTAGGTGTCTCGCGGCGTTTTACGTGAGGCTAAATTTAGAGATTGGAAAGAAGTAAATCAAACGTTACTCATACGGGAGCTGTTGACTATTATCAAACGACTAAACTTCGCATAAACGAGCCATATTGATAAGGCTTGCGTTATAAGCGTATTTGCTCGAAGTGTTGCTTCTCAAATCTCTCTTATCAAGCAAATCAAGTTAATTTGCATAGATGCTTGTATAGTCTAGCACAAGACAGTCGCTTTCTACTATTTTAACAGATTTGAAGCTTCATGAGACAATGAGCCAGCTAGAAAACAATTTCCAACAAAGTGTCTCTGGTCAACTAGGGAATGATTTTCCAATTTAGCGCTTTACCAGCTCCGCAGCTTCACGCTCCAAGGCACACTCGAACATAGCGTCGATTGGCAGAAGACGAGCTCAATATTAGGGGAACCTTTTGTCTTAAGGTATGCTATGGATAAATCAATATTTTGCTCGTGAAATTGCGTTTTCTGAAAACGATGTGAGCCCTCAGTTGTTGGCAAATAAACAAGTCTGTCTAAAATGCGTTCTATTGGCTTTAATTCATTTTATTATTCATTTTTGAATTCATTTTAATTTGATTATGACGACTCAAAGGGCAAACCTCAACGATGCTTCGATTCTACAACAAGTACTACCAATTCAATGTACTGAATTTTGTTCGCAGACGGTTAAACAGTTTTTTTTTTAAAGCTATTTGTTGCTCACACTAAAAACTGAAGAAGCATCGACCTTTTACGTGTTTGCCCTTACTTTGATCCTGAAGTTAAAGGAAAAATGGCCTCAGCAGTCACTGACAAAAATATAGTCGAGCCTGTATTATGCAGTCACCTGCGGGGAATGGCGAGGTGACCGCCAATGGCAGGCTGACCGCTAAATACAGGTCCCACAGAATAAAAGCATTGTAAAAAAAAACGCGATACAAAATGCTATTAATAACTCCCTCAAAAATAAACAAAAGAAAAATTGAAAGACTGAGAGATTGATTTGTCTTTTGCTTTATGTCACCGTTCATTACAGGTGGAAGACAATAACAACATGCCTTTGGGCGCTTAATAGAGGTGACCGCCTGTTAGAGGTGAAGATAACAATGAATTAAAGACAAATCTATAAAGATGAATAGAAAAGCACTTTTACGCTGGTTTCTTGCTCAATACTAATGAAACATCATCTCTTTAACAAATTAGAGAGCTAATTATATAAGTTTTCCTTTACT